TATATATATATATATATATATATATATATGTATCAAACGCACTTGGTATGTACCATTTTTGAATGGTTGGTTCTAAGTGTTTTAAGTACTCAAATTCTCTTTCTAAAAATAGTCGTATGGTGATTCTTAGGTGGATTCCAAAATTTAAGTTCGAGAAAATTCTTCTATTTAGCTCTTTTAGCCAAGGGAGTAAGTCCACAGTATGCTCCTGTGGGACCATATTATATGCTCTCATATCTGATTTATTTGTACACATGCAACTTACTATGACTAGATGACCCTCAAATGACCATGATAGCCTTATATGCTGCAGAAATGCCAAAATCTCCCTATCATGTAAAATGAGTCATCAAACTCTCATGTACTACATGGATAATGTCCCACAAATGATGTACAAATTTACGTGAGTAGAAAGAGGAATTTAAATATTCTTAATAACAACTACAAAAAAAGTGGTGTTATTATCTTAAAGGGCCATCAATTTACCTAAGATGTCGAACCATCACCGGAAAAAAAGAAAAAAATAAAAGAAACGAATGCAAATTATATATTCGAATATAAATACAAATACAAAAATGAACACAGAGAGTGGGGATATGACTCAACATCTTTTAGAGACTAAGACATGGGTATAGACACAAGTATTGTTACCAACACATTGATACATATTATTATAGATTACACAGTTCATAAAATATATGTATTTGATGATAGATGCGTATGCATGCTATATATTGGAGCTTTATCCCAACTATTTGGGGTCGGCAACACAATTCGTGTTCCACATTCCGCTCTATCAAGGTCACACCCTCAGTTAGACCATGAGTCACTATATCCTTTCTCAATACTTCTATCCATATCTTTTGGGACCTTCCGCTTACCATTTTAATTCTTTTCACTTGTTCCAAATCGCCCCTCCTAATTGATGTTGTTCTTCGTAGATGTTGTACAAACCAGAACGCCTAAGTCTACATTCCCTCATTTTATCGCCTATTGGAGGCACCTCTAAATCCCTTTGAATATACTAATTCCAAATTTTATTATTCTTTGTCTTAGTATTCATCCATCTCAACATCATCATCTCAACTATGCTCATTCTATAAATATGTTGTTTCTTTAACGCCTAACTATTTGTCCATAAAACATTACTGGTCTTATAGCCATCCTATAGAACTGTCCCTTTAGTTTCATTGGTATGGGACGATCATATAAGACTACAAAAGTACATCTCCACTTTGTTTACTCATCTCTAATTTTGTAAGCAACATATTCCTCAATCTTACCTTTCTCTTGGATTATCGACTCAAGATATCGAAAGTAATCTCTTTTAAGTACTTCTTGTCCATCAATCTTAACTAATTACATAGTACACATGCTACATGATGATGCAAAAATATTATACAGTGTTTATATAATCTATTCTAGAGTGATTTTGTGTAAAACATTTAAATATCCTAGGAGTTTCCATCATTGGCATTGGTGTCTTTTCATGTTGATACAGGTAAAATACGCATTTAAATGTAGCTGTGCATATGAGGAATTTACGAGCTAGGGATTGATATCTGTCTTTTGTATCTTCATCATCTACCAGATGAGCTAAAGCAATCCACATGGAAATATGCAAATACTATTGCCCTCTCTCCAATAATGAGTCTCAATCCTAGGAGTTTCCATTATTGCCGGTGGTGCCTTGTCATGTTGTCACAGGTGAAATACGCATATAAATGTAGCTGTGCTTATGAGGAATTTACGAGCTAGGAATTGATATCTGTCTTTTGTATCTTCATCATCTACAAGATGAGTTAAAACAATCCACATGGAAATATGCAAATACTATTACGCTCTCTCCAATAATGAGACTCAATCTCAACATATGTTATTTGCTCATTCAATGTGCAACCTATACTGTTTGTACATTATCTCCATGCAATGGTGTAGGAGACAATGGCCTACGAATCTCGCAATGCTGATCTTAACCTTAAAAGCTCTTCATGCTATTAAATTTTATTCCTAGCCTCTGCAGTCGACGTCAATATAGTTGCCTATTAATCCCTTTCCATGATGTTTACCAAGAAACACTTAAATCAAGCAGTAGAAATCCAACTATGGACCATGTATTCTTTGATGAAGCTGCCCAATCTTCATGGCTTGTGCCAGTCAGCTGCAATGTCAATGAAAGAGCATAGAGCTTCTTCCAATCTAGGAACTGATATTATTAATTTATTAAACATCAGCAAGCACGGACTTGTTGGCAACCTGAATTGTGTGAGCCATGTCAAGTCTGTTCATAGTGTGATACAATCATTCTCCAACTAGACACTTTGCTCTGGAGGTTTAGGGACAATCTCTCTTCACTTGCTGTTTACATTTTGTCAACTCAGGCTGAGTTTCCATTTTCTTGGAGTCTATGGTGCATATTCTCACACACGAGTATATGTTTCTCATAAACAAAAATCAATCATGCAACCTCAATCCCTAAAACCCATTGTAAGTTCCCCAGGTATGCAACCTGTAATCATGCTTGAAGCTGAGATTTAATCACGTTAAGATTGTTAGTACACACATAAATTGATTTGCCTCATCAGTCTCATTTTTTGGATGGTTGATCCGTAATTTGTTGTAGGCTATATTGTAAATTGATTAGCTTCCACATCCAAAATTGATTTCAATTTTTGAATGATAGCACCACTTTGTTCTGGGAATGGTCTAGGTTGTGCCACCAGGTGTTAGCATGTTCCTTTGTTATCTCCTCTCTTATTCTTGAAAGCTATTTAGTGTGGGACGTATGCAACTCTGTCTAATTTAAGTTTCGCTGTATGGAGCTTTCGAATTTTCGCATTGAGATCCTTGGGAAGGAAAATTGAACACCTATATGCTTTCTTCAACAGAAGCTGGGTATCGGTGACATAATTCCTGCTAGATGCAAATATCCTCGTACAAGTGTGGCGATAGCAGTCAAACGTAATTCTGTACTTCCCTAGAAAATCTATTAAGAAACAAGTAGGTAAAATATGTGCTTGGGACCGCAACTTAAGATCCCTAGTTTTACTGAGATGTGATGGGTAAAATTCTATTCTTCCTGATCCTAATTTGCCACTTTACTCTTTGAACAATATTACATCTCAAGTCTTCCTCCAAATTTCTTCTATTTACTGGCGCCAAATCAATGTTTCGAAGGAGTCAGTTCTGCCAATATTTGCAGCTATTATCCTACTTAACCATTGGGTTACATACAGGGTAGAATTATCAATATATCTTCTGTGGTTGGCCTTACTGGGAACATTGGACAAGCCAACTACAGTGCAGCAAAAGCTGGAGTAATTGGGTTAACCAAGAGTGTCGCACGTGAGTATGCCAGCAGAAATATCACTGTGAGTCCCATTCCAGTCTCTCTCTCTCTCTCTC